AGCGTCGATCAGAGTGAGGCGCTGTGGCTGCACGTCACCACGGAGCACCCATCCGCTGCGCCCGCGGGTACCAGCAGCCAGCCCCCGAGAGCTGGTGCTGCCTGGGTGCCCCACGTGCGATGGCACCCTGCACTGTCACAGGACCCTGCGACACCAGGCTGTCACCCCCACTTCCCGGGGGGACTCCGAGGCTTAGCGGTTCGGGGAGACCGCCCGGCGTGCGTGGCGGGATGTGTGCCGAGGACGAGGAAGATGCGCCGGGTGACGGCTCCACGTGGGCCAGGCTCCCGTCTGCCCGGAAGCTGCAGGCCCACCCCCAAGTGGGGGGCTGGTGCGCACAGAGCTGCATTGTCGGGCAGATGCATAGCGTGTGGGGGGCTCTGTCCAGAACCCGCCAGGGGAAGCTTAGTCTCCGCCCCGGAGTCGCTGGCCTCACTGAGGGGCTGGACGTGACCGAGACCCCAGCTGGCCTGGCACACGCACGTGTGCACCATCCCCCGGGAGGGCTCTGGTTTTCACTGGGGTTCGGTTCCCCCCACCGGCAGGCACGGGCTCCCCAACTTGTTTGCGGAGAAAACACTCGGAAAGTGACATTTCATCTTTAGTGTCAGAGAGGGACGGCCCGTTCCCGGGGAGGGGGCCGGTCGGGCCACAGCGGGACGGTGAAGCAGACGCGGGGCCTCGGAGAGCTGTTTGGCGGCGCGAGTGGCCCCGTGCGCTCTGGGAGGTGGCTGGGCACAGGCAGCCGGCCTCGTCCGCTGTCCCCGCAGACGGGGACACCCCCATCCCCACAGGGCAGCTCGAGTCCCAGGACGACCTCTCTGAGCCCTTTCGCCCGCGGGGCCGCGGGGTCGTGAGCAACCTTCCCAGCCCCAGGCAGCCTCAGCTTCTCCAGCTGCACGGTGGGGGCCGTGGCAGCTGCCTCCGGTGACGTGGGAGGCCTGAGGGACACAGTGAGTGCGGCAGGTGCTTCCCGGAGGCCCCCGCTGGGACAGCACCCCTCCTGCCTTTGGTGCCGGGGACTGGCGCCCACCAGCCGTCCGCCAGAGCGGCCGTGCACGCACTCACTCACCTTCGCCGGCTCCACGGAGCCCTCGGCACGGTCAGCCCCCGCCCCCGCCCCCGCCCCTGCGGCCCGGGCGCCGGGCGGCCCCTCCTACCTGGCCGAGACGCTGGTGAAATGCATGTACGAAGACAGGACCACGCCGATGCGCCCCTTCCCGCCCTGCAGGACACAGAAAGGAACCGGTCTCGCTCGAATCCCACGGCGGCCGGGTGCAGTCAGGGCAGGAAAATGCTCGGCCGTTGGGGTGACAGAGCTTGCTTGGAGGGCAGCCGACGTCACCATCCTCTGGTCACTGTTACGGGGACAGCAGCACCCAGTGCAGCGGGCGCCCAGAGCGGGAGGGGCTAGCTGGGGCGTGCGTGGACACCCCCGAGGTCAGAGCCACACAGAAGCGGCCAGGGTGCTCCCCGTTTCCCACCGACACCGGAAACAGCCAGGCCGGGGCGAAGGCAATGGCTCGGGGACCCAGGAGACAGAGACCCGGACGCCCTGCACAGGCCGCTCGGACAAGTCCAGAGCAGTAGGCCCTTCCAGCGAGCTGGCCCCATCATCGTGTCCACCCAGCTCTGCCCGGCCACGTGCACGGGGACCGCTGTCCAGCACGGCAGTGCTCCAGCTGTGCCCACACGCCTGCCCACTGCAGACCGGAGGCCCAGCTGGAACCACTGGCCAACATCTCCCACGGGAGGAGGTGTCTGGGAGCACCGCAGCTACGTGACAGGCCCCCGTCACCCAGAACCATGGGCTGCCACCTCCTGGAACGTGCCGCCATGACCCAGGACAGCGGCGGGCAAAGTGCAGCCCACGAGCCACTTCTGCCCGCCACCTGTGCCCGCAACCTGCGAGCTAAGAGTCGCCCTTAAGTTTCTAAACAGTTGAAGGAAAAGCAAAAGAATAATGTCCCACGACACAGGAAAATTGTACGAGCGTCACGTTTCGGCGTGAGTGCGACACGGCCGCGCGCGTTTGCTGAGCCGCACCGGTGGCTGCTTCCTCACGGCAACGGATGGTTTACATAGTTACGGCAAAATCAACGAGACGCCCTTGGCCTCAAACGACACGTCAGTCAGGTGGACTGCAAAGATGTTTTACGGAACGCTCCCTCCGAAAGCGACAGGATACAGGCCGCGTCGGCCAAGACAAGTCCTCACACATTTAAGACTGAAATCACATCGACCATCTTTCCCGACCACAGGAATATGAAACCAGAAATTAATTACAAGAAGAAAACGAAAATTCATAAATATGTGGAGCTTAAGCAACATGCTACTGAATAACCCACGGGTCAAAGAGATCGAAAGAGAAACGAAAAAATACCTTAAAACAGAAATGGAAACACAACATACCGAAACTTGTGGGATGCAGCAAAGACAGTTCTCGGGGGGAAGCTCAGCGCAGTAAACACCCGCCTCCGGAAACACGCACACGAGGTTCCCAGACGAACAAGCTAACTTTATGCCTCAGGGAGTGAGACAAAGAACAAAGTCCAGAGTCAGTCGAGGACGGAAATAACAAGGATTAGAGAAGAAAGAAGTGACATGCAGACTTAGACTCAGAGTCAAAGACACGAAGTGGCGGACAAACCCCTCGCTGGACTCCACGAGAAAAAAGGACTCAAGTAAAATCATAACCGAGAAAAATGTCTTAAGTGATGTCACAGAAATATAGTGCATGATAAGAGACGACAAGGAACAATCACACACCAGTGAGCTCGACAGCCTCGAAGAAATGGGTGACCTAGAAACACACAACCTTCCAAGACTGGAAAGGATGAAGCGGGAACTCTGAACCCTCCCGCTCCCCGTGAGGAGACTGAGTCGGTAAACACCGCCGGCAGGGAGAAGCCCGGGCCGGGGCCGCTTCGCAAAGGACACTTCTCGAACTCTTCCGAAGGTCAGAAGAGGAGGGAACGTTTCCCACCAAACTCATTTTGTGAGGCCAGCATCACCCCGATACCGAAACCAGACAAGCCCACCTCGAAAAAAGGAAATTACAGGTCAATATCCCTGATAAACGTAAGCGCGGAAACCGCGACAAACCACTCCCGAAGTCCACGGCGCATCCCGGCGCCCCAGGGGTCGCCTTCCTGGAGAGCGGGGACGCTCCGTCTCGTTCCGGCCACGCAACGCTCGACACGGACAAAGCGGAGGAGAAAAATCACACGAGCCACAGACCCGCGGAAAAGGCGTTCGACAGAATTCAACCGCGGTGTACGACGCCAACTCTCACCAAAGTAGCTGCGGAGGGAAAATATCGCAACGTGCTAAAGGCCGCGCACGACACACGCTCAGCGAACACCACGCTCACTGCAGAAAAACCGAGACGTTTCCTCTCAGATCAGGAACACGACGAGGACGCCCGCCGTCCACTCCCGAAGACCGCGCGGTCCCGGCTCGGCGACCACGCCGGGAAGACCAGGAGCGGGCACCGCCGCAAAAGGAAGAAGCGCACCTGTCCCACCTGCGCATGACAGAACGTCACAGAGAGACCTGACGACGCCCTCGGAAAGCTGCCAGAACGAGCGAGTTTTGGGTAAAGCTGCAGAACACGAAACTGATACAGAAAAATCCCATGCGTTTCTTTGCACTAACGACGGACTATTAGAAAGAGAAATTAAGAGGAAAAAATCCCACTTATGATTGTATCAAAAAGAGTAAGATACCTCAGAATGAATTTAACCGAGGAGGAGAAAGACCCGGGTATTGAAAACTACAATAGAGAAACAAATGGAAGGCGACAG